CGGCACGAGACATCAAAAACGAACGTGATTGCCCCATGTTTTCAAGTTTATCGTGTCAGCCGTCCAATAAGATTTGTAGGTCGTCCAAGACAATGGAGATATGTGAATTCGAGAGTACAATGAGAATATGGAGACGACGGATGAAAACTACGTCCGCGTCCGTGATGAAGGTACGGTACGAGACTTCCAACTCCGGCCGGTTACTTGATTATTCTCCACACTGGCACGATGCTGCAGCCTCGAATATCTCGAACGACTCGATTGCCTTTCTCTAAGCACTTTCTACAGACTGTGGTGCCCTCGGCGAGAACATTGCTCTCTTCGCTGAAGGAGCGGAAGACTATATATGCGCTCTCTACACCTCCTGGAAAAGCTGGCATTGGTGTTATCAGGATCTCAGGGCCTGGTAGCTCGGATGTATACGAACGAATGGTGAAATTATCAAACGGATCAAACAGAAAACCTACGCCATGGAAAATGCAACGCTGTCACGTCTTGAGCCTGGAAGGAGAAATGTTGGATGATGGGTTATGTGTATTTTTCAAAGGCAAGTTGACTCTTAGTTTTGGACTATAATACTCATTATATGCTATAGCGCCGCGATCATTTACTACGGAGGATATGCTGGAATTGCATGTCCACTCAGGGAGCGCAGTCCTCAGAGCCGTTCTCAACACGCTTGGACGAATGGACGGCTGCAGACCAGCCGAGCCAGGCGAATTCACTCGACGCGCTTTCGAAGCCGGAAGGATCGATTTAACAGAGGTAGAAGGCATCCGGGATGTGATAGACGCGGAGACGGATGAACAGAGGAAACTTGCATTAACTGCAGCGGGGGTGGGCGTGTATCTTGGGATTGACAGACCAGAGAAGATAATAGGCTGACAGGGCGAGACGAAAAGGCGGATAGAGAGCATACGACAGCAGCTGATACGATGTCTTGCGAATGTCGAAGCAGTCATTGATTTCGGAGAAGGGGAGGACCTCGAGGAGGGCGTGTTCGAACACGGTGAGTCGGATTCACGAACCTTTGAAAATCTGCTGAAATTGTTACAGCGAAAGAGAGCGCGAGAAATTTGCTCGCAGAGATACGCGGGCATCTGGACGACGGAAGACGGGGAGAAATTATGCGATCAGGGATCAGACTGGCGATTTTTGGACCGCCGAACGTGGGCAAGAGCAGCTTGTTGAATTTCCTAGGTGAGCAATATTGTGTTGATTGGGCATTGCTAAGTATCAAATGCAGCTCAGCGTGAAGCTGCCATCGTGACACCGATTGCAGGGACGACTCGCGACGTTCTTGAAGTCACACTTGACATCGGCGGGATGCCAGTGGTGATTGCGGACACGGCAGGCATACGAAAATCGGAAGATTTGGTGGAAAGCATTGGCATTGCGAAAGCAGAGACAACGTGGGTCCGCTCTTTGAGTATTAGCTGATAACTGACGATAAGCAGGGCAACGACAGCTGATGTCCGTATATGCATGCTGTCCATGTCTGCCATGGACAGCGCGGAGGCCATGGCAGAACACGTCGCCGGAGTGTCGTCATTGATCGACAAAGACACGTTGATTATCTTGAACAAGGCCGACGAGCAGAGTGATGTTGATCTTTGTGCACTGGAGAAGCTGGTCGGTGCACGTACGCTGTGGACGATGAGCTTGTTGCAACGGACGGGCGTGGCAGAGTTTGTGGACGGGTTCGGGCGGGAGCTGCGGCGGAGGTGAGTCTCGGGCTGGACGAAAAGGGAAAGATTGACCGAGACACGGGCAGGTTCGCTGTTGCACCCGATCGTCGCCCACTGATTACGCAAGCACGACACCGAGTGCATCTTGAACGAGCGAGCGAATTTATTAGCGCATTTATTGGATATTCAGTGGACGAGGTGGTCGAGGGCGCAGAAGAACTGCGATATGCGGCAGACGAGGTTGGACGGATTGGCGGGCAGATTGCAGTTGAAGACGTCTTGGATGCACTTTTTCGGGATTTCTGCATTGGGAAATAGAAATATTATGACGTCGCTCGTCCGAGTCTTATAGCCCGTCGGTTTCTCTTCCCGACACCGAATGGCAAAACCGACCCTCATCCAGTCTCTGCTCGCCCGTCCGTCCCAGAAATACGCTGCAGCCGCCAACGCCCAGCACAGAAACTACTACAGCGCAAAGAACGAGTTTCTCGCCGCTGCCTACCACGCCCAAGCCCAGAACACCCTTGCTCGTCCCCAGTCGTCCGTCGACATCGACCTCGACGACGACGACAGCAATTCGGACGACGACGTCTTCTACACCCCAGACACATCGCCCAGAGCGTCAGCAGATGTCTCAGACTTTCAGTTTGCTATCGTCGAGGCCGGCCTCGATGCCACCGTCCCCAAGACACTCCGAGACCCTGCGACGGCAGCGTCTTCGTCCTCAAATCCAAGCAGCAGCAGCAGTACATCATCGCTAATACCATTTCCGCAACCGTCCAAACAACAGATATCTCCGCCGTCTTCCCGCCCGACTTCGTCCGCAGCCTCCGACGACGACAACGACACTCTCTTTTCATGGTCATCCATAAAATCGTCAAGTACAGACATCACTGTGCCTACTTCAGAGCCCGAATCCACCACCCGCAAGCGACGCACCCCAAAGCCACGAGTTCGCGAGCCGGTTCCAGAATGGGCAAAGGACGTTCGATGGCTCGTCCCTCCTTCCTCATTCACCTCTACTCCCTCCCACTCCTCCAGGTCCTCGTCCTCACGCCGTTCGGTGGATGAGTCATCCGAGATGCTCTACCCCGTTGTGCCCTCACGTCCTCGTCGACGTGCACGGTCCGCACGGTCTGCCCCGGTCGCGAGTTCCTCCGAATCTAAGCGAATGAGTGCAGTTATCGAAGAGGAAGAGGACGAAGAGGCACCTCTGCCCAATCATCATATTCGATCAGCTTCCGTTCCAGTCTTCCCTGCCAAGCGACGTGCGGGAAGCGTTCTGTCGGCTTCCAGCGCCAACCTGGCCAGAGTAGCCAATATCCCCGCACCTCTCCCCCAGTTCACAGAACCTTCAGCCACCGGATATTCCAGTCTAGTTCTTCCTCGCGCATCCTATACACCCAACAAGCACCCAGAGCGTGTGTCGAGTTCAGTCGACCTGTCCCGCTCCGGCTTGGCTCAGACAACCATGTCCACCATATCTATCACCAAGAACGCCGCCGCAGGACTTGCCTCACGATTCAGCTTCTCAAGAACAAGCCTGACACCAGCACACCTTGACACTCATTCATCACCCCTGTCATTCGCCTCTCATACCCCGCCTCCCACTCGTGTCCACGGCAATCAGGTGCTAGTGCAAGTATGGGCCGTAGGACTTGATCGTCGGGACTCGTTGATGTTGCGAGAGAGAGCAAGTAAGGAGCACGTCGGGTATATCCCAGGACGCAGTTTCGTGGGCAGAGTCGTTGAATTCGGATTCGACGTCAACAATACTTCCAAAGGCGAATGGGTCTATGGACTGTTGGATGCTCGAAAGGTCGGTCTTGTGACATTTTGCTTATTATTTTTTCTCACTTTTTGTAGGGTGGAGCACTCGCTGAATTCATCGTTGTGGACCGCCGTCGATTACATCGATCTCCACGACCGTCGGCTCAGATGTCTATCGAAAAGTTGGCAGTCTTGCCCCTTGCCGGTATCCCCACTGTTCGTCTTATGCGAACATTTTCGTATCTTCCGCGAGGAAGTCGCATTCTGGTCCTCCGTGCGCACGAGGGAGTCGGAGCATTGGCAACGCAACGTCTGACTGCACAGGGAATGCAAGTGACCGCGCATATTCCTTCAGACTCGCAGGCGTTGAGGGACATTGCGGAAGCCAATGGCGCTGTCGAATTTCTCTCTGGCGACGAGCAGGCTGCTATATCGTCCCTTGCAGACTCCGAGTTCGACGGTGTGCTCGATACAATCGGTGGTCGATCACTCTTCGAAGCCTGTCGTCGAGTCCTCCGCGAAGGCGGCCACGTACGTTCTCCTATTTTCTCATCAAACCCTAACTAACTTGATCACAGTTCACAACTCTTGTCGGCGAATCCGAAACGGCGGTCCCTACCCTAAACGCCCAACTAAAATCCAACATGCGATCCCTCCGTCGCGCCTTTTCCACCTCCAAAAAGGGCCAAAAGACACTCCGATACGCATGGATATCACCCACAGCAGACGTAGACGACGAAGGCGAAGATATACGCGACTCACTAGACGGCGTGACGCAAATGACGGAGAGCAGTCAATGGAATCCAGTCGTTGATCGAGTGGTTCCGTTCGAGAAAGCCCCGGAGGCATTTATGAGATTTGACAAGGATGAGAACTGTGGATCTGTTGTTGTGCGATTGATAGAATAATATAATGTAATGGCCCATACTATACACGATTATCTTTATTCACCAACCTCCCAAAGTACGATGAAAAATTTTCAGGAATGCGGGACAAGTTGGGACTTGAACCCAAGGAATGATCCGTCGGGAAATTAAAATGTGGACACTGCAGAGACTCGAGCGGTCACCAGCAAGCGATACCTATGGAGATTCAATATGTTCATCATTGAAGGTGGATGGTACCTCCGAGAACATTGTCCGGGGAAAAAAAACTTGAAAGGTGTGGAATATAGTACTAGTGAGCTCGAGCCAGACGAAAGCCGCATCGACTTAGGTTCAGACGCCACTCCCATTGTTATTGCCAAGTGCGTCTCGCAGATAAAAACTTACGGCTTGACATGAAGAAACAAGAGTAGCAGAAGCTGTAGACAGCGAGGAAGAGTCACAAAAATGAAAATTTAAAACGGGAGAATTGGGGACTCCGAATCGAGGTGATCTGCACCAAAACTGGCCAGGGACTGCACCTTTTTGGCTCAGGGCTTGATAAGGAAGACCGCTGCAGCACTGTAATACCCACAGAATATTCAAAGGGAGCTGTGAAAGGCCAAAAAGAGATCAGATGGTAAAGAAAGAAAAGTTATAATAATAAAATGTAAAAGAATGGACAAGTTGGGACTTGAACCCAAGACCTCATGCATTACGTAAGCGTGGGTTCAAGTCCCATCTTGCCTACTGCTAAGCATGCGCGCTACCAGCTGCGCCACGTGCCCGATATGAAATATGCGTTCTCAAAGCTTAATAAAGACGTTTTGCACCCATAACAATGCCAACTGCAGGTCGTCGTGTGCTGCGACCGCTCTTGGATCCAATCACTCCAATTTTGTGTAAATTCGAGGTGTTGCTCAGGTGTTGCTGTTAGATGGCCGGAGAAATATCCTGGGATCGTGCGCGATGCAGGGTGGGCCACACTAATGCTGGTCAAGAATAAGGGTACCACTCCAAAGCAAGCGAGTCAGTCTCTTGGTATGAGTTGGTGGACCCAGAACCAGATCTGCGGAGCAACTCCGATATGAAATCCATTGGAATTACTTCGTGAAAGTATCAGGTGCATTTGAATATGAATGTTGGGACAGTAGTGGCACGTCCCGGGCCAGTAGATGTGCCTTGCGTTTGCAGCGAAGGATAACGATGTTGTCTAAATAAGCTGAAAGAAGGTGCTATATCGAGGACGGCGCTTGAGATGGTCTACAGAAGGGATTCGAGGGAGGGAGGCAGGGGTGCAGTTGCTTCAGTGGGCCGGCTTGAAGCTTGAAGCTTGAAGACAGAGGCTGGAAGAGTCGGACTAGCATCCGATAGCCGATCGAAAAGCCAAGTCTTTCAGCCATGCCTCAAATTCGCAAAAGTTTGTCAACCCGCTCGTTCTTTCCATACTCTTCTAATTTCTTTGCATGTAGAAACCTCCAAGAGAGGAACAAGTTTTCAGCGCTCCAAGATCAGGCATAAAGTCTCCGAAAGCCATCGAAAGGCGAAAAGAGCCGCAAAGAAAAATCCTCAATGGAAGTCAAGTGCGAGGACCTTTGATCGTGTTGCAAGTATCAGTACTCACTCCTTCCAGAACACAAGAAAGACCCGGGCATCCCCAATAACCTTCCGTTCAAGGAGGAAATCCTGGCAGAAATTGCAGAGACCCGGCGATTGGTGCGTCCTTCAAGGGGTACTCAACACAGAGCACTCATGGCCGTATAGGCAGAAGAGAAGAAGCAAAAGTTAAAGGAGCAGAGAAAGGCTGCTAAGGCTGGCACGGATACGAAAGCCACTGAAGACGACAAAGATGAAGAGGAGGAAGGCTCTGAAGCCGTCAGTTCTGCTAAAATCGTCACCGCAAGCACCGCCGGGCCCTCCAAACCTGCACCGAAGAAGAAAGTCGAAGAAGCTCCGTTACTCCTCGACCAGGAATTTCCTCATTTGAAAGCCGTCATCGACAAGGCAGATGTGCTTCTCGAAGTTCTGGATGCTCGGGATCCTCTGTCATTCAGAAGCGAATATCTGGAAAATTTGGCACAGTCGCCGAAAAAGCTGGTCTTCGTTCTGAATAAAATTGGTATGTTTCGATTCTACTTTGCAGACATGTATTAACTGTTAGACAGACACTGTTCCGCGAGAGACCTTAGTCGCTTGGCTTGACTACCTACGACCCATCGCCCCGACCTTCCTGTTCCGCTCTGCGTCCGAATTCTTGCCTCGTGAATCTGAGAAACGGGTCGAACCAGTGAAAGGCAAAGAACGAGAAGATTCTGCCGACGATGCTGTCGGCGTGGATGCGTTACTTGAGTGCCTCGAAATCTTTGCGAAAGAAAAAGGGTCAGAGCCTCTGACCGTTGCAGTTGCTGGAATAACGAATGTATGTTGATTTTCTGACCCATTGACATCAGACTGACGACCTTCCAGAGTGGAAAATCAAGTGTTGTGAATTCTCTAGCACGTCGTGCTGCTTCCCCCGTCTACAGTCTTGCCACGCTGGGCGAGGGTCACAGCTCTACTCCCTATCCTATCAATGTACCCATCACTACGTCGAACCACAAAATCTCCGTGATTGATACTCCGGGCCTTGCTTGGGAAAAGCAGGAGGAGGATGAAAGTACTGGACGTGAATTAGCGATGCGTCGCGGACATGATGTTTTGATGAGATCTCGAGGGAAAATTGAGAAGATGAAAGATCCTATCCCTGCCAGTGCGTTCAATTCTGACCTGTTTTGCGTCCAAATCTCAATTACTTCTTATTTACAGTCTCATACCTTATATCTCGCGCCGACGTCGAAGACTTGATGCTACACTACACTCTGCCTGCCTTTGGCTCCAGCGATCACGAAGCCTTCCTTCGAGCAGTCGCACGTGCAAATGGATTCGTAAAGAAGGTGAGTTGTTGTGATTTAGAATATTCAGTTTTCTCATAAATCTTCATCAGGGCGGCTTTTTGGATCTGACTGGTGCCGCAAAACTTGTCCTGCGCGACTGGAGCGTGGGCAAGATTCCTTATTACACAACTCCTCCCTCATCTCCATCCACACCAAGCTCCTCATCTCAACTCGACACCGTGAAAGCTATATATGGACGTGCTGACGAGGCCGCTACTGCTACTACTCGTACGAGAAAAGAGCGCCGACTAGCCGAAGGTCTCGTGCGTTTGTCACCTGGTAGTGTCGACACCAGACCTGTTGCTTTGATCCCTACCGTTGAGACCCCCGCCTTCCATGACGTCGGTGATGATGATGAAATGGAGGATGACGACGAGGCCCAGCAGGAGAGCGATAAAGACTCTGACGCAGAGTCCGAAGCGATCGAATCAGAACCCGAGGAGGATGAAGAGGTGGCTCCGTCGTCGAAGCGAAAACGAGTGGTACAAGAGCCTCTGCCGGAACGACCAGTCAAGGTCAAGAAGGTGACTTTCGCTTCGACAAAAACGAAAACGAAAACCAAGCCGACCAAAAAGGAGAAGCCCGCTCCTGCTCAGTCAAAAGGCCCTGTTGCACGTCCTGCAAAGTCGGCTCCTCAGAAGCCTGCAAAGGCATCTGGCAAGTCCGGCCAAGGGCAATCCTACGATTTCTCGCAGTTCTTCTAGGCATCGTTGATGCGCTTCACACCGTTGTCATGCATGCATTTTACTTAATCTATAATATTTGATTAATGAGACACTACTAAGACAAGGCTGCTAAAACGGTAGACCCGACAATTACAAAGTACTAAATGGCACAATAGATCAGGGGATCTAGCTACATGGAAGAAAACGAAACAATAAGGCCGATAAATAAGCGTCAGAAGGAAAATAAACTATGGTCCACTCGCTGCTCAAGTGTTCATCGACTGTATATGGCTTTGAGTTAGCTGGGGTAAGAATGCCTTCTGCGGGGCAATCATATTGGTTGCGTGAGAATGCGTTTGTAGTTGTGGCCTTAGTGAGGCCAGAAATGGGTCGCCCGAGGCAAAGGGTGTCGACGACGCAGCTGACATGCCCACATCGTATGATGAGAGATAACTGGAATAGTAGTCCGGCATATGGTGAGGAATCTCGTGATGAGGATGATATGTAGGGCTCGAAGAGTGGAACGAGTTGTTGTTGCGGCCATATAGAATGTCTTCCACTTCAGCCTTTTCATCCTCCTCCATCATGAAAACGTCCTCGTCGGGGCGTTGAAGAAGAGAGGCTGAGCTCCTTCTCCTTGGCTTTTGGCGTCCACTCATGCTAGAACTGCGCTGCATAGGAGCGTGTGGGTCAGGGAGATAGTTTGTCCAACCAGGACTCGTCTGGGTGGGAGTATTTGGTGGTTGGAGATCAGGGCCACTGGAAAAGCCCTGGTTGGTAGCGCAGAAGAGGGTTGTAGCTAACTGGTTCTAATTATGTTCAGTATTTATGAAGTTAACATAGCGCAAATCAAGACAGACCTGGAGATTGGCCAGCTCTATGGCTTCCTGGCCTATATGGCTGGATTTCATGGTGGTAGAGAGCGAAGCGACGAGCTCGTCAATTGGGATGGACATAGCGTGAAGATGGTGGTCGTGAGCAAAAGGGCAGGAGGTGCGGGGTTGCGGGGGACAGCCTGAGATGGGCACTGAGAGCGGGCGGTGGTGTTCAGACTCCGATGGATGCACTCAGGGTCGGCGGTTCGGCTCCAACAGCCGAGGTTGTCCCACGCTGAGTCGACCGCTTCCGAGATTTCACATGAAGATCGATCAGGGAAATAGGTTTAAACTCCGCCATGACATATATTCCCCGCATTGTGGCTGTGCCACTCTAATCAAACAAGATCATGCCTATCTCTGTGCTACAGCCAGCCGGATTTGAACCAGGCTCGTGTGGATACTGTTCTGAAACTCGATCTAGTAATCGCAATTGGAAAAGTCAAGCATTTGCTCATCAGCTCTCTGTTGATGTGGGTACAGTCCAGCGCCCCAGCATTGTTCTTCATCTAGACGTTCAGGCGTATCAAGATATGATAGATCGTGGCTGGCGGCGCTCTGGAACATATATATATAAACCAGATCTTATTCGATCGTGCTGCCCACAATATACGAGTATGTTAGCTAGATACATGAGGCACGCGTTCGCTGCTAAACCGCTGCAGTTCGACTCGACTCGTCAGCCTTTTCGCCTTCAAGGTCCCAAAGAAAGTTACTAAACAGGCAAGAGCATGACAGATCTAACTCACAGTGAACTAAAGTCTTTGTCAGATGGAACGCCTTCGTCGCGGAAGATCCAGATGTGAACGCACATCTCGGATAATTCGGAATGACTCACTCACGCTGTTGAGCTTTAGATCTCTGAAGATGCCCAGGACCGCCCTAATAAATCGACGAAGAAAAAATCAAAAGGAAAAGAAAACCAATATTCGCTTGCGGAGGCACTCCATTCCGTCGAACATAGTGCAGCAAACGACGATCAAACCCATTCGTTTCAGGTAAAGGTTCTTCTTCCACGACGTTGTGATCATGTTACAGTATCTGTCAGGTCAGCATAGTTCCGGCTGAAGCGACGCCAGAAAGATATGCGCTATTCGAACATTACCAACGAGAAATTCATCACGACGACTCCACGATGGCCGGATTCAAGCGTTTCTTAGTAGACTCGCCACTACTTGCAAGTTGTCGATTTCTTGGCACAATTTGGTACTCATGGCTCTTGTCTAGGTCGAAGACATACCATATCCTGGCGAGAGGCCTGACACCTTGCCAAGGGCCTATGGAACGTTTCATCAGCTCTATCACTTGGACGGAC